CTGGGCTAGGCTGCTCAGTGCTAGGCAGAGCCCCACAGCTGTGGGTTGCCTGAGCAACAGCCTAAGAGGGTAATTGGCCAGCACCTGCAGCCGGGCAGAGTGCGGGGGATATACAAATCCAGGGCTGCAACTAGTAGGAACTCTCTAGCAACTGCCAAGGAAAGAAGTCCTTGCACAAATGAGCTACCTGAGGCTAGATGCTGCCTACAAGAACAGTGAGGCTCCAGGAGTCTAAGGTACCTAAAGCTAAGAGACAGAGACATGGTCCTAAGGGGAGAAGTTTTACCCTCTTAAGAGACGGAACCCAGTCTCCATTAGCATTGTTATGTTGTGGCCCAGGTGCTTATATCTGTGTTCTGTTTTATACCGGAGGACTGGGATGAGACTAAAAGGGGAGGTTTGGAGGCCTCATTAGTGCTTTGAGAAGGATGAATATGATCGGGGCAGAACCTAGCGATGGGTGTGGAGAGCCAGGTGCCAGAGAGGTGCAGAAATGGAAAGCTAGGCACCAGAAAACTTGGTGCCAAAGTGGTGCAGAAAGACAGGAGCTGGAGGACTAGATGCCAAGGGGGTGCATAGAGTCGATAACATCAGAGTAACACCTGTGAGGCATGGGCCATGGAGAAGGGGGAGGTCGGAGCTGTGTAGTGTGCCCTAGGTGTTAAAGGAGCAGCCTCTTACCTAGAACCAACTTTCTCGCCTGCCATGCCTTTGTGATGAATTAGGTGGGAAACTGCCCAGACAGGTGAGTGGGCTCTTCTTTTGACTGGTCTTGAGACAACTCATCTGTCACACCCTTTATCAGAAATCACAAAAAAGAAATGAGCAGCTTATGTTCTAAGGCAGTGGTTCTCAACCTTTTATTTCATCTGCAGACCCCTAAAAAATTTCAAATGGCAGTGCGGACCCCTTTGGGCATTTTGAATGGATGTGCAGACCCCTTTGAATTGTAAGTGTGCGTCCCAAATCACAGCTCTACCCTAACTTCAGACCATGCTGTCACTGCCGCAACATCCCAGCCCCCGCCCTGAAGCAGCTTCCCACCCTGTGCTGTCATGATCCTGCTGCTGCTGGGGTCTCCATGGAAATAAGCTGCAGCAACATGGACAAGGGCTGCTGGGAAATGGAGTCCAGTTGCCAGGCAGATCTGCCATTTTGTACATGTCTACTTTAGACTCCTTTTCCTTGAAGAGGGATGATTTCCAAATAACCCTGCAAAGTTCTTCTCATTGTGTCCCTCTCCCTGTGTGTATGGGGTGGATGAGAGGAGAAGAGAAGGGGTTGATCTGTTCTTCAGTAATTCTGCAAGTGGAAGTTGTGGGTGGACTCTACCCCATGGGGCCATCACACAGCAAGTCCCTGCAACAAGCATAAGAATTCATGCCAGTGGGCACACACCCTCAGGCTTCCTGAAAAGTGCTGGTTTGGAAGTCCCTGAAACAAAAGCCCTGAATCTGCCAAGAGAGCAGCAAATGCATGCAGCTGCAGTGCAAGTTGGTTCATACTGCCCACTAGGGTACGTATCACATGTCCACATTCCTTCCTCAGTCCTTCCCTTGATCCTGCCACCTAGTGCATATCCTTATGCCAGATAGTTTCCCTACTTGTTGGTTTATTTTTGTGATGGTGGCAATTTACCCCTAGGAAGTGGACATAAGGGGTCAACTCCTTTTACATCAGCTAATAAAGAGCTGCCAGTTGGTAAGAATTTTGTCACTAATGACAGACTGGATTTGAACCACTGACCTAGAGGTGAAAGGCTGTACATGCCATCACCAATCCCATAGCATCTGCTTTCACTTTGTCCAGTCAGGCTGAAATTACTCAAGCAGTAAGTGCCAGCCCCTGCCTCTGGGGATGGTTCTACAGTCTGTAATATGCTTGTTCTACTGACATTTTCCTTAATAGTCTAAGGTTTTCTTTGCCCAATATTGTCTTGGATTTTCCATCAGTAAGCAGAATGATGGCTTTTCTCTGTGCTACCCAGCTCCTTAGTGGCTCAAAATAATTCAGAGGATCAGCAACCTGATGAATGCTATTAGATCACATTTCAGTTTGTAAATCTGTTCTTCTAAGTGACTATTTAATCATATTGTTACTTTTGAGAGAGGCCAGCAAGCAAGACACAGCAGGTCGAATTCTTAATGGCACGGATGGGGATGAAGTTGGTTGGTTGATGTGAGCTCTTTTCCTGCTTTGCACCACGTTTTTGCATTTTGTTAATGTGGTTAAGAAAAAAAGCTATTACAGAGTGTTCTAAAAATAGAGGGACTTGTCCCCAACAGAAGTAGAGCCTCAGGGATTGTACAGGGTAAATCCTTAAATCTGATAAGTCCAAGGACACATCTGGTCTCTCTATTGCCAGGCCACAACCCCATACACTTAAGTTGTAGGTGTTTTTTTTTTCTTTTCCTTTCCACAATGCAAATAAATTTATCTTTGAAATAACATATTTTTCTCTAGAACAGTGGGTTTTGAAATAAAAGAACTGTAATTTCCCTTGTCCAGCAAGGCCAATGCAGATGTGGTGAAATCAGCTTGGCTAGGTGTGGTTTTAAGATGTACAAGTTGCTTCTTATTGTGATTATCCCATAAATTAATAGCATTTTTGTAATGGCAAGGGAAGCTCTAGACTTTTGTCTATGGTGACCTTTTTATCTGCAATGAACCTGTGGAACTCTCTGCTGCAAGGTAGTGTTAGACATGCTGGCAGTAGAATACTCACCATTACAGTAGAAAGATGGGGCACAAACCTCATGCTTTAGGGTGTAAGCAAGGCACTCGCTGACGGGGGTTAAGAAAAAAAACTTTCTGTGGAGGCAGGTTGCTCCATTTATTTTTATTAAGATTCTTACATGTGATCAAAGTATTGGTCCTGGCTGCCCTGGGCTTTTGATTCCTAGATCTCTAATTAAAACTGTGTCGGGAAAGAGGATTCAGATATGATCTGACCTATAGTTTGATTGAAAAACACAGTTCCCACTTTTAGAGGGTACTTGACCCTATGTTTCATGACTAGACTAAAATGTTAGTTGCTGGTTAGTCAGATAATACTTCAGCTTGTGTATAGAAGGAAACACTGTTTCAGCTTGAACTGAAAATACTGAAAAACAAGGAGACTAACTGTAACCAGGTGAGCATAGTCTTTTGGCTGTGACTTGGGTCCCTGACATGGTGGTATCTATCTACAGCAGGCATAGGCAATGTTTTTTCACCAGAGTGCCAAAAACAACACAATGTCTACCTTGGAAAGTGCCAGAGTGCGGACATACCGGAGCCTGGAGCAGCTGTTTGCAGCCTCCCAGCTGCAGCTGGCCCACAGAGCCCAGTCTGCTTGCAGCCGGGCTTGCAGCCTCCCAGCCACCTGCCGGGAGCAGCCTGGGCTCCATGGCTGGCAGCAGCTGCTTAGAGCCTGGGTTGGTAGTGGTGTGCAGAGCAAAAGGGCCTTGTGTGCCATGCTCGGCACGCGTGCTGGGTGTTGCTGGCCCCGATCTACAGTGAAGACAACCTTAATGCCTGCCCTGCATTCCAGAGCTGCCTGCCTTGTCTTAGGTAAAAATATGCATTTTAATACATTTTTGTAGATAAAAGCAAGATTTTTAATGGGCAGAACCCGTTTTTATCAAGCTTGCTATGAAATACATCTCTAGTGCTGTATGTGGCATGATTTTTTCTTTTCACCCTGTGGTGGTTAATGAAACAAATCACAATAAAATTCTCTCCAGCCTAGGTGAGTAATTTCTACAAGCTGAAAAGGATCCAGGCCGCCTGCTCCTGTTCCCATTAAACACTGGGAATTTTGTCATTGATTTTTTTTTTCAGAAGGGGTAGTATCATTTCAGCAAGTTCCTATCCAGGCGTGAATGCCGTGGGAGAACAAATGTCTGTCCTGAGGACAGATTAGTCTCTCCTTAAATCCAGGAGGTCTGAATACCATGTGTCAAGGCTATCTGGCCAGTGCTGAAATAAACAGTAGAGTGGAAGGGACTGAGGCAGGTGGGATGTCTGTGAATACCAGCAGATTGCTCTGCAGAGCTGGGAGAAAAAAGTATATATTGAAGCTGCCATCATTTTATTTTATTTTTTTAAGTGCTGTCTGACTTGGTTTTTCAACACAGGAGCAAGTTAGTGATCACATGATGGTATTTGGTTTATTTGTAGTCTGCAGTCCTATAACTTAAAGTTCTTTAAAGCGTCTCCAAGAAGTCATACATTTCACTAATGAAATACAGTCTTCATAAACAAGAATAAGACTTCTTAATTAATTGGCAGTAGGATACTTGCCATAACTGTGCTAATCAATTTTTGTTAAATATTGATGTAACAAAGGGAATTGCATTTCCCCTCCATTTGATCTCTGATTGTAAACACATTACATATGGCAAGGAAATTAGAGTTTTCTTGATTTTTTTCATTTAGAGATTGCTTAATATATAGGAACCATGAAGCATGACTGTAACAATATTTAAACATCAATTTAAAAGTCAAAGCCTGATTGTTTCTGATCTCATTTCTAAACATATGTGCACTCTGTTTTTCTTTTTAATGTCACACTAGAATTGCATCCAGATGATCCTGGACTGCACTTTGAACCTTACTGAAGCTTTAGCAAGTGGTAAATACACATCATGGAGAAGCCTTGGGACCCTAGCCTAGCCCTTGTCAGTTTATGGGATGTTGTCAACATTTCCTGAAATCTATGTGTAATCTATATCTTGGTGCACTTGGGGAGCTTGCCTGTATCTGGTTTCCTGAGTTTCAGACTGGCTTTTGTACCGCTGCACTGTAGCTCACTATCATAAGTCACCCAAAGTTTCCACTGGCAGAGACCCCTATGTGTCAGTTAGCTTTTGCATTCTAGTTTCTATTGTGACGATATGGACACTCATTTGACAGGAGTCTATGATCCTCAAACAGCTTGATGAGTCATGGAAAGAGTGAATTCACCCGTATAGAGTTTAATCTGTCCTTCTCTGATACATTTAATTTCCTCTTGACAGGCTCTGCTCAGTTACATGGTATGTGACCTGGCTATTGAAACCTAGCAACAGGCAGAACACTGCATTATGTAAAGAGTCATCTCTGTGGATAAAAGGTGAACATTAATATTAATGAGCTGTTATTCATTTACACTGGTGGATATTAAAACTGTTGTATAACATGGCTTGACATCTCTCAAAAGTAATTTTCTTTTAACAGAAATGCAAGCAATCAATATCGACTGGTCTTACTAATGGGTATTTTTGTTCAAATATAACATAATATCTATGAGGGAACAGTGTATTTTATGGATCTAGTCTTCTATTAAGCATTTACCAAGCTAAAATAGGAATCTCTTAATAATCTGAGTAATAAAATAATGATTATAGTCAGAGGTTCTTGTCACTAAAGTTATGGCCTTTCCTGCTTTCAGGGGAATCCTATTTGTTTTTAGATCTGTGGTTTTGGCTTGGCATCGTAGCAGGAAACAGACCAGCCTCAAGGTTAGGATGCAGATAAAGAATTAATACTTTTTACCGCTCTGCATAATTTGTTTTAAACTGCCATGATTCTTCCCCAGATGTAGCAATATTTGGGTCTAATTTTTAGGTGTGGGATTACCTCTTTTTAAGCATATTGAGTATCAAACGGATTTTGAGATATATGGTGTAGGATACACAGCATTCCCAAAACTCGATTTACAATATCTCATGAAGTGAATTAATATAGTAACATACCTGGCTTTAAGAAAATAGGTTAGGAGTTTGATTTTTTTTAACCTCTTTGAGCAATAGCATCATCTCTTAAGGATCATTGGCAGGTCAAACCTAGTCTAAAGTTTAGGCCTAGTTACAGTATTTTCTTGTCAAAATCCAAGACTAATAAAAAGCTTCTATGGATTTTTCTAATAGGAAAAGATTCTTAAATAGATATCTGCCCGTGGCATTGTCACCACAATCATTGCAACATTAGAAGTAACGAGTGGAACTGTATGGAAACCTTGCCATCTACCAGTACTTTAGAAGTTTTGCTTTAAAATTTTATCTGTACCTTAAAGATTCTGAACCGGCACCGATTCACACCTCGAATAGCATCCACACTGCATCTTCTGACAATATAATTGCTGTAGTTCTTGTATGAGATTACCACATTTTGGAGTGAATAGCACCATAATTCCTGTACTGTTGCTGTCTGTTCATGTCACTTCTTGGTTAAACTGTTTGTGGGGCAGTCTTTTTGAACCATATAGAAATTGTGGGCATTGTTCCTGAGCTGCCTTGGTTCCCAGTTAATATCTAGGTGCAGTTTCAGGTGTTGGTTTTAGTCTGTTTTTACAGCTTCAACTCCCAGCCACATAAGACTCTTTCTCCTTGTGTGTTGTCATTACTTTTGAGGTCATCTGAGATGCTAATTGATACCACTTGCTGTAAACTGGAGAGGGCTGATGATATAGCTGATAATCTTGGCTGAAGATGCTTTAGCCCTGAACCTTTCTGCTCTGAATGTGTTTGTTGTGTGCTCATATTTGGTTACCTGCAGAGTGCATAGCAAAAACTACCTCTGATCTCTGGCTTTGTAGAGGGATGAGGGCTCTGGACATGGGAAAAGATAAAATAGAACAGTGGGGGCCAACCTTTTTGACATGTGCATCACAAATTACTACTGCCAAGGTATTGTGCAAAGGATGTTGTGGTCATGGGTGATATGAATTACCCTGACATCAACTGGGAGGAGCAGTCAGCCAGGTCTAGCCACTCATGAAGGTTCCTGATGTGTGTACAGGACCTACACCTCATGCAGGAGGTACTCATCCCCACTAGGGGAAACGCCATACTGGATCTGGTGTTAGCCTCTGGGGACGACCTGGTGGGGGATGTGCTGGTACAAGGGAGGCTAGGGGACAGTGATCATGAAATGATCCAGTTTGCTATTCAGAGAAAGTTGGGGAGGGTAACTAGCACAGCGCAAATGCTAGACTTTAGGGAAGCCAACTTCAATGTGCTCAGGGCAGTAGTCAGGGAGGCACTCGGAGCCCAGGGGGCAGCTAGTATGGGGGTCCAGGAAAGGTGGTCCTTCCTCAACGAGGCTATCCTTGGGGCGCAGCAGGACGCAATTCCTCTGCGCAGGAAGG